TTTTCAGTTATTTGCTGTTGTATTGCCGATTGTCAAAATGCAAATGATCTGTTTATTTTCAAAGAATAGTTTTTGTTATTGTTTGGTTGGTGTCTTATATGAAACTGCGACATTGCGCAATTTATTGGACAGACTTGTTTAAGATCACACAGCGTAATTTGGGTGGCATTTTATTACGTATTTTTAAATCATCTTTTTATTTTTGACTATCTGTCAATGTAGTTTCCTGCTCTTAATTGTGAATGCATACTTGATGGTTTTAAATGCTCCTGAAATTAGGTGCTGCTTGACGAGCCTATACAGTATTGTGCTCATGTATGTGACGTCACTGAAGGCCTAAGGTTGAAATGCACGGCCTGCCACTGCTTATACCTGTCTGTTCATCAGATTCCGAAGTCGTTTCACAGTCCCGGTACAGTGCATATATACACCCAAATGTCATTAATAACTTAACTGAAGTGTACTAGCAGAGGGTAGTCAGTGGTCCTGAATATCAAACGACACAGGCTGTGCATGTTTAAAACTAGAGGTGTCAAATTAACGCGTTAATTGCAAATAATTAATTGCAACGTCTTTAGCACGTTATGTTTTTTTAATCGCGTTAATCTAAATTTTAATCTTTAACTTTATTGTTTCTGTAGGTGGGTTGCCTTTTGATAATATCCATTTTTATGTTTTGGCTTCCTGTGTTCGAGTTGTTGAGGGTGGGAAAGAATGAGCAGTCACAGCCTGAAGTGGACATTGATTGGCCGTCATTATGTTTGGGCTTGCTAGCAGAAGCTGATAGGCTTACATTGGAGTTGGGAGGGCCAGGTAAGCAGCGGTGAGGAGTTCTCGGCCCATCGAATGGAACATTTACATTCGAAAAATGCCCTGACGGCACAATTGATAAAGGTAGAGTGCTGTGCCTAATTTGTAAGGAGTTTGCTTACCACCGAAGCAGCTCAAGTTTAGCTAACACATCAATGCAAAGCATCCAGTCACGAGTGCAGCCACAGCTAACGTTAGCACCAAAAGCTTTAGCAATATCGCGAACTATAGCCAAACTACACTCGAGGAGAACAGCCCGCGTACGAGGCATGAAGTCAGCATAGCTGCTGTGTCCTTGTAGCCTATGAGAAGTGATTGATATTTATTTCAGCACTTTATTTTGTCATGATGAACAGTGTTATTTCTGAAGTGCTAACTTACAGCAATGTGATTTAAGGGTCTCTTTTATTTGTTTTTTACTATCCGAAGCAAGTTCAGTGTTCAGTACTTGTATTGCTCAGAGAAGTGTTCTTACTGTTTTTGATATGTTAACCTAAGCACTTCTTATGGATCTGATGTTGTATTTTATTTTTATTTTGGAATTCTTTAGAGATTTACAATAACAAACAAAACAGTGATATTCCCCTCATGGTTGAAACTAAATGTTGCGGGTTGGACTTTGACTTGTCTCAAACACAGCAGAAAGTAAAGTCATTTTAAAAACAAAAAAAGACTATCATGCCACTTTTTTGTGATATCACTCTTTTGATCTGCCTCAATAATGTAATGAATTTAAAAAATAGGGGGTTTCTCACCAATTTTTAGATGAGATTAAAATACAGATTAATTAGATCAATCAATAACAGATCATAATTAATCTCACATTTTTTTAATTGCTTGACAGCACTATTTAAACAGATAAAATAAAATAAAAAAACAACTTTCCAGCAGTTGAAAAAGTCCAAATCACAGCTTTCGTCATTAATTTCAACCAGTTTAGAATACCAATTGGTAGCCCAAAAAAATTACCTTACCCATAGTGCACCGCATGGCCGGAGATCTGCAAGTGGCTTCTTATGGGACACATATACTGTACTTTTTTTAAATGCGCATAGGCTCGATAGGACAGCTCTTGCCTGAGTGGTGGTGTGGAAATCCAGCAGCGTATTTATCCCTAAATTAGTGGCACGCCCCAACTAACGGCAATGTTCTTTTGGGATGCAAAATGACAGCCGTTAATTTACATGAAGATAAAAGGCTCGGGTAATGGATAGATGAATGTTGTGGGTTTAGTACAGGCTTGACTTGGATGCTGTAATCGAGCAATAACTGTTGAATCAGTTTCCACTGCATATTGAGTTGGAATGCTAGTAAACACGGAGTTATTTAGTTTGGGTAATAGTTTCATTTTTGGCCAGCTTCAGATCTCTGACCTGATCAAAAAAGTTGTCTCCCTGCTCCAACACACCTGATTCAAATGTGGAGGTGCACATTGATCAAATGTAATCTGTCAAACAATGCTGTTTCTGAATGCGAAATAAATGTTTACCTGTAGCTTCGAAGTAAGCGGAGGTGTTTCGGATCGATGCCGGATGCCGCAACTATCCTCAGGAGACGAATCCCACGATGACACACACCCAATATCTGAGCGTCACCACTGTCTGACTGCAATTAGGAGATATGAACAAATGGGGTTGGTAAGGGTGTTGTGCCGAAATGTTCCCTGTAATTAGAGCTGTGCGATATGATAAATGTACACCCCGGTAAAGATAATTTTATATATATGTGTGTGTGTGTGTGTGTGTGTGTGTGTAGAGAGAGAGACAGAGAGAGAGAGAGAGAGAGAGAGAGAGAGAGAGAGAGAGAGAGATTGTCAGTTAAGGCTCAAGATTTTACTCAGGTATCTGTTTGGCCCTTTATCATGGACCTCCATATCGTGACCAACGGAGCCGCCGACATAAAGGATAAGTTTTCTCATCATGTAATTCTGCACCAGTTTCCTCACTTTGCCCATTGCCACCTGTTCAACCTTCCCTCGTTCTTGCATAAATGGCTCCCTCGTGTTTCTTGTGCTACCCAACCACGATGGCTGATGGGGCAGGTGAAGACTGCTTTCCTATTGCGCATCGTGCGGCTGACATTCCTTCAGCACTGCATCTCAAGACTTGCGTTCCTACACCATCGAGGCTGTAGGCTCCCATTTCTACACCGCAGCAGCTGCAGGCTCCCACTATTATGCGGCAGAAGGTCCAGAATCCCGTTCTGTGCCATGACAACTCAGGTTCTGGTTCCTGCGCTGTCACATACTTCTTCTGTTCAAGTAGCTCATGCTGTATTGTTACTATCAGACCCTGTCTACTTTACTATTGGGTGGCTGGGGCTCGCAGGCGCCAGTCACCTGTCAACGTTACTGGGTAGTCAGGGTCACCGTGCCAGTCGCCTGTCCATATCACCACTGGGCAGCTGAGGTCACCAAACTAGTCAGCTGTCCACGTCTGCACAAGCCACCTGACCAGTTACCTCTCTGTCCGGTGGTGCACAGTCTGCATCCACCACCTGACCCTGCTTGAGCGGAGCACACACATCCTCTGACTGCCATTGATGCATCATCTATGGCCCCTGTGATGCCACTGGGTCTGGTATCATAGCCATCTGCCTGAACAACCATGAAAAGTCTTGTCATTCTAGCCAAGCCGCTGAACGGCCTACTGGAGTACCGCACATCTAGCGTCTCAGACTGGACATCCATCCATCCATTTTCTGATCCGCTTATCCTCACAAGAGTCACAGGGCGTGCGGGAGCCTATCCAAGCTGTCTTCGGGCAGTAGGCGGGGTACACCCTTAACTGGTTGTCAGCCAATCGCAGGGCACACACAGACAAACAAGCGACGCAAATACTACTATTATAATGCCTACATTTTTGTGCTTCATGTAGGCAGGGTGTATGCAGGTCGAGGTCCCAGATCCACAACCCATAGCTTGGGGCATTGCTCACTGGTCAAGGTTGGCCGTGGACCATCGTGTTTGTACACAGACCGCAACAAGGGAAACATTGGGGGCCTCATTTGGTATGAACATTAAGTGGAGGAAAAGTGGGGAAACCAAAAACCAGATTAAAAAAAAAAATACTCCTCTGAAATAATATTCATACAGTAAAACTCCTCTACAATGCAACCTACATGTGCGAAAATGCCCCCTAGTGTGAAAAAATCTTCATGCATTAAAGCCATTCCCTCTTTTCTGCTTCCCCCTACAACGAAAAGTCCCCCTGTTGCGTAATACGAAATCCTGTTCTCCACCCTTGCCTCGCAATGAGGTTCACTACAACAAAAACAGCTCAGCTCGGAAACGGCAACAGCAACCACCACATTGGCTTACACATGCACAGTAGTACAGGAAGCATTTGTTATTGTTCACACGTGGTTAGAAATTTCACGATTAGTGTCAGACAGAGCACGAACGTTGCATTGCTTGGTATAAAATGGCTACAAAACGGATCTTTGCAGACCAAGACTTCACAAGGAGTTAAGAAAAGAAAAGCTTTAACACTTGAAGACAGAATAAAAGTAATGAAGATGAAAGATGGAGGAAGCAAAGTAAAAGACATCATGCAAGAAATTGATGTAAGTGAAAGTGAATGCTGATCATAAATTTCGCAATTTCTTTCCCTTTTTTTCTTACGCTGGTTATATTAAGTGACAAATAAGTCTATGCTCATACGTATGCACTATTGGAATAAAAATTAAGAGTACACATACACGTTTTTATGTGTGTGTGTGTGTGTGTGTGTGTCTGAGAAAAAAAAATTGCTATAGTGAAAAGTCCCCTGTTGTGAAAAATTTCTGGTTGCAAACATGATTTCTTCGTAGAGGAGTTCTACTGTAAATATCAATTCTTACCTTAACGGGAAATAGGCGTGAAAAGTAGTTTTCCCAATTGTCCCGAGCAGCAATGACAATCCTTTTCTTCATGTTGTCATCCCAACTGTTGGGCATCGTTCCCACATTAAGATTCGCTGTTAAAGACAAATAGCAAAAATGATATGAACTGCAGACATTATACAATACTCAGTGGTTTATAATTCGGCATGCATATTTCATAAAATTACCAACACTTGGTCCTGCAGCATATGAATAACAAATTGTGCGCTAACTGGTTCACTCTTTGAGGTGACTGCTGATTGTTGACATTGTTGATATTATTTTTATTTATTTATTTATTTATTTATTTATTTTAATGGGGGAATTGAGTATCTGGTACATTGGGAAGTCTATGGACCAAAAGATCGTCAATGGATCCTCCAATGAATTCCTTCTTCATACCTTCTATTCATCCCATTCATCCAAGCCAGGTAGTCAGCCAGGAGGCGTCCATTGGGGAGGGCGGAAGGGTGGCGG